TAAATGAAACGGAGGGAGTACTAGAATTCATCACGAGCCTAAAGTGTACTATGGTCAATCTCATATATGGAGCACAAGGATGGACATTCAAAATCAGCTTGAGTTACCGATCATATGGAGAGTGAAGAAAGGAAATTCATTCGTTTGGTGAGATAATTGGACATGGTTATGCTAAATTTGGAAATGGTTGCATATTGCAGACTAAAGACATGTTTCGTCTCCTTCTATAAAAGCCTTACGAAGGACATATCTTCTAAAAAGGTAGCTTGGTGCATAAAGTATCTCGCGTTCACGCCGCACCCTTAGAGTGTAATGTAGACAGACTACGTTAATGCAAGCATTAAAGACATATCTTCTACAACAATAACATACCCAATAAAATCTTGGGGAAATTACGCTCCTTGTCACTTGGCCCAACAGTCCATCAAAAAATGGTCCACATTTGAAGCCCTTACCTGATACAGCCCAGGTTGTATATAATCTGAATTTTTTTTCACCAGTTAGCCCACCCTATTTTTTTCTTTTCTTTGTTCTTCTTCTTCTTCTTCTTTCACGACTTTGCACCCCAAAGTTTCTCTACCATTATATATATTCTTCAATTCTCCTTCCATATTCAAAGTTGATAATCACTATTAAGATGAGAAGAAAAAATACCACTTAAGAGAATTACTATTTTGGAGTCACCATTAAAGGTCATTCGAAGCTTCAATTTCAAAATTGGATTTTTCGATTTTGTTAGTTGTTTGGATTGGGTGTTGGCCCAATTGATTGGGATCGTCAAGGGGAGTTCAAAACTCAAATTTGAAGTGATTTGGAGCAGATTTGAGGTAGATTTGAGTTGAATTTCAGAAGATGCGCAAAGAAGAAGAAGAACCAGTGAAGCTCCATTAATATGATTCATTTGTATAATAGTGTATAATATTGTATAAGTAACATATAATAGTGTATAAACATCTCTTATACATTATTTTATTTTATACAAGGCTGATACATTTCTTATTCCTCCTCCTCCTCCTCTTCATTTTTATACACTTTTATACAACTATATATATAATATACCTCTTTGTATAAAAGTGTATAATATTGTATAAAAGTATATAAGTATTTCTGACGAATTTTTTGTACGATTTTCACTTGTATTTTTGATATTTGGATCCTGTAAATAATGTATCAGCCTTGTATAAGTGAATCTGTTTCTCTTTGCAAAGTATACTTGATGTAGTTGTGCAGAATGCAGATCAGTACTGTGGATTTTCTCAATTGTATTTGATGTAGTTGTCTTGATTCATTTTTGTTGTTTGAGCTGTTTTCTGACTTCTAACCATAATGTGTAATGTCCTTTTATCTTATAGGTTAAAATCTGATGCGAGAAACCGCTCTCTGCAATAATTATTGCTATTCTATTCAGGAGTGCTTTGACACTGAATGAGCATATTGCTTCCATATGGATGAGCATCTAGACTTTAATGCAATGCTATTGGATTAATGCAGATCTTAGTATAAGTTGGACGACCTTATTTGGACAGGGTATCCCTTTTAAGTTTGGATCGTATTTCTAGCAGTGAAGGAAGACATTGTTGAATTTTTTTTTGCCTTGGAGAAAGAAAAGACATATTAAGGATGAGGCAATGACCTTTATATCTTAGCTAAGAATGGAGATTTCAATAGGTGAAGAAGGTAAGCTGAGAAAGCTATCAAGATGTTCATAACCTCCATTAAATGTTTTTGACCTGTGTATGGAAGGGTTTGTTGAATCCGGGCTTTTTTCCCCACACACCTAGATTGTATCGTGCAGGATGCTTTGGAGTTCTGAAAAGTTCTATCGGAAGGCATCTCTAAGTGGGCTAAAAAAATTCAGATCTAAGCTTATTGATATTTGGCTACACATTTGCAAACTTGTAAGTGGGCTAAAATAATGCAAGATCAACTTATGGAGTGCATTATTATGTAATTTTGTCTAAAATCTTCTACTAAAGATGAAAATTGATGTGAATTAAAAAGGTAAAAATAAGAAAGGTTACCCTTACTAGTGCTGTTGTCCGATTGTGTTGGTCGAGCTAAGTAACTTTTATCCGATCAGGTACATATTATCTGTCTTTTAAAACTTTTTACAATCTTACTTTTAATCATAAGAGTATTTGTTTAAACTAAGTTTTATCTCTCTTTGAACATTTCAATCAATTAACATTCCACATTGAAACAATAAGGGTAATGAAGAAGAAGAAAACAAGAATGACTTTTTTTTTTAACGTCGAATAAGCAAATTCAAATCTGATAAACTGATAATTGGGCACGGAGATACCAGTGTATTTAGACAGTAACCAAACAATAAGATCAGATATAAAAATCAATATTATAGGAATCATGATGAGCTTATCTCGCCTTTTTAGTTTTTCTTTTTTGCTTAATGTAGGTAGTAGCACAAGGCTCCAAGCTAACTTAATATTTTAAGCCTTAAAGTTTGCCTGAAAATTAAAAGATTAGCAAAGCACAAGAAATATTCTTAATTGCTCGATAAGATTCTCAATAATTATTCGATAAATGTCTACTAACCACCACTAGCTAACATGATAGTTAATAATAAAGCCTCGGATACTTTAATCTCAAAAGTCTCAACCCACTCCCCTTTGCTACAAATATTATTAAAGGACTCATAAAAAATACTAATGAAAAGTGAGTGATTTTATTTTGTGTCTCACACCACTTACACTAGTTGTGTGAGACCTCTTTTTATCTCAAATATTTGTGGACCCATATCTTACACATCTGGGTCCACAAAATTCTAGGACCTACACAGTTGTGAGACAAAAAAGAGGCCTCACACAACTAGTATCGGTTGTATGAGGCACAAAATAAAATTTTTCAATGAAAAGCTAACTACAGGTATCATTGGAATCGGAATCTTTCATTGTATTCCTCATCTTATTTCTGTGTGTAATAAGGCAATTCTGCAAAAATGACATGTTCATTAATGGTGAGATTCTTTAATGCATTCGCTGCACCTGTACTTCACTAATTCAGGCCTTTGACCATGTTTATTTCTCAACGGATTCAAAATTTAGAGTCAGTTAGTTTTTTATAATAGGTTCGATCGAACCTGCTTGCGTCTACTTTAAATGTGCCAAATGAACTGAACTTTTGACTTTTATCTCGAGGGAAGAAAACTTTTGGTTCGACAAATTTGGTCTTCTTTTTAAGCAACCGCTATGCGTATGTGAACTAAAAATGTGCGCCATTTTTTTTTCTATGTATACGAAATGAGTGAGTGAAAATTTGAATTTCTTGCTTCTTTTTTTCTATTTAAAAAAGTTGGGGTTAATCATTTTATATAATTTCATGTTGGATCATTTCAACGAAGAATTTAAACAGCTATGCCTATGCCTAATCCTTTTTATTAAATTAACTTGATGAAAATGAAGAGATCATCTTAATACTTGGTTCATCAATCACACTAATAATTTCAGTAGTTCACACTAAGATATTGTGCAATTTAACATTTCACTAGTTCCTATAGTAGTATTGATATGCTAGACTAGTACTCCTATTTCTCTTGATGGACAAAATCCAAGGGATCCGAAGTACTTCCTCCGTCCAAATTTATGAAGCGGAATTCGGATTTCAAGAGTCTAACCGATTTTTTTTTTATTGTGATTGTTTTATATATCTTTTAAATAAGGGGAGTTCGGATTTCAAGAGTCAAACGAATTTTTTTTTTATTGTAAAATTTTCATGTCTATTAGATATTCTGAATTGCTCATGACTTATAGTACGAATTTACATTCAAAATTAAAAAGTTTTACTCTCGAAATTCGAGCTAACAATAATAACAACCCAATATAATCTCATAAGTAAGATGTGGGGATGGTAGTGTGTACAAAGACCTTACCGCTACCTTGTGAGGGTAGAGAAGTTGTTTCGAAAAGGAAGCAATAAATCATAGCAACAACAAGCTAACTCTCGAAATTGGAGCTTCGCCACAAAAATTGGGACCTAGAGAGTAATTACAAGTTTTTCAGTTTTTGTGAGAAGTATAATTCTCTTTCTCTAGGTTTTGGATCATCATTTCTTATTCTTCATGGATTTGCTATATCTGATTAAAGGAATGGACTGACTGTATATGGCTTATTATTTCACTGGTTGAAAATCACAAATTGGACGCTCACCACCATTGATGCCTAATTGATACTAGCTTCCTGATGTGTTCAATCTCCTATACATTCCTCAAAACATGCTTTGAATTTTAGACCAGCTCCTTCAAATGATTTCTCTCCAATCTAACATATTGAAACAGAGACTTGTGTTTTTCTTTCCCAAAGCTATTTCTTATTACTCCCTCCGGTCCAAAATAAGTGATTTTTTGAATGTTTTCACACAGATTAAAAAATTCACCTTTTATCATTAATTAACAATGGAATTGACCATATTAACCTTTACTATCTCATATAAAAACTCCTAACACATATTCCAACACTATTTACTCCAAGAACAATGTAGGAAAAAAAAATAATTAATTCATTCTTGAAATCTGGAAAAATTACTTATTTTGGACCACAAAAAAGCCAAAAATCACTTATTTTGGACAAGAGGGAGTCCCTCCGGTCCATATTAACTGATCAATTTGCTTTAGGCACACCCATTAAAGAAATACTAAATTCTAGACGAAAATAGTTAGCGTGACTAAACTACCCTTCATTAAATATACTATAGTTATAGTAGAACTTATTTCTCTTTTCTAATGTGAGGAGTAAATAACTTTTTAAGAATACGTATATAAGGATAATTTTGAAAAAATAAATTGAACTTTTTTCTTGATTATATAAATGCACACTTGTTTTGGACCAAAATAAAAAAGCAAATAAACATGGAGCACTTACAATTAAGTGAATGTGCTGATGCAACCTTTTGGTTGTTATACTACATAGTCTCAATTCCAAGCAAGTTAGTGAGCTTTTGGTTGTTATTGGAAAACAGTAAGAGAGATGTTAAAAAACCCAAATGAAAATAGAACAAAGAAACATATACTACTAGATAGTATAAAACAACCAAGGAAACAGCTTACATTCAAGATTTTCATTTGAGGAGCAGAAATACTGTGTCTATACAATTGCTTCCACAGCAAATACATCGTTCATTTGTATGTTTGATGCTATTTTTTCAAAGAGAAAAAAAAACACTGCAAGATCTATAAAACCACCATGGTTTTTACCCTGGCATATATATTCATTTTACCCGAGAAAAAAGAAAGAAACTGTAATTGCAAGGGTTCTTTTTTTTTTCCTGTTTGGAAAAACTGTTTTGATTACAAAGGATTTCAAGGTTGTTGTAACTCGAGAGCCCAAGCTGACCAACAGAGACATTTTCACTTTAAGTTGGCATGTGAAATTCTTCTCTATTCAAACTCCACATCCTAAGCCTCTTGCTTCTGATCCTTTCATTATCCTTAGCCTTTTACAAGAAGATAAGAACATATTCCAAGGAACATCACCAACAAGCATTAAGTCACCATCTTTATCTTCATAAGCAGGTGCAAATTCTGACCCTTTATACCCTTCCCTTTCTGAATATTCACCTATGTTGAGTTTGAACATGTTTTCCAACGCCTTAACTAGTTCTGAATATCCCTTATACATTTTCAGATCAATTTTTCTTAGATAAGGAGCTCCATCCATACTAACTTTGACATACATTCCACACTGATCAGTTTCTGTCTTCTTTGGTTGGATGTTATTCTTCCTGTAACATCTCACTGGTGGCCATCCCACTATTTGTGCCTTCTTCTTTGATTCACAATCTTCAGCTGATTCAGGCAAACCCCTCTTCTTATTCTTACAACTTGACACAATAGTTTCCTCTTCTGTCCCTGGTAAACCCAATCTCAGCTCTGTTGCTTTCAGATTCAGATCTTTCTCATGAGCCATAACGCACTCCATCTTTTTCTCAATTTTTCTTCCTTTTGTCAAGATTGCTGCTTTTCTTTTTCAAGATTGCTTTGAATAGATATATTCAAGAATGGTGGAGATTGATGGAAGTAGTGGTGGATAGCTGGCTTTTATATAAAGAGAAAGGATTTGTATAATACTGGGAGAATTAAAAAAAGGAAATACTATAATGGAAGAGTGCATAAAAATGGGGACAAGACAAGCTAAAGTTGTCGGCTGGAAGTGTTGCAGCATTGAGGAGAGTGATGGGATATATTTTGGGGGGACAAGAATTGGACAAAGCTCAGCTGCCCATGTGCTCCTGTGGAGAAAGACTTATAATGCGACTGACGGTCAAGATTTATTTTGGAAAAATGTGGAGGCAAAATCAGGAACGTCAGATTGTGTTTATTGAGTGTGGCCAGGGTTTTGGCCGTCTGGGGGTGGTTCGGGCCCAAATAAGTTACCTGCTGTTTTAATGCATCAATCCTAGAATTTTAATTCTTAGCACTTTCGTGTTAGAATCCCTCTTTCAAAAAAAAGATTTAAAAAAATATATCACTTCCACTATCTTTTGAGTTGAGGTTATAAAAATATTTAGGGGTACAAGTTAGGCTAGGATCTAGTTAGGTTAGAGATTAGCTATATTCGATCAGTTATCTTGGTACTATTTTTTATTGATTATTTGATAGAGTCCAGAACCTAATTGTAGTCTTTTAGACACAAGTGACAGAAATATGTGTAAATAAAAAATAGTTACATATCTATATAAAATGCGCTTTTAAAGAGCGCTATATTTTAAAGGCATAGTGCACTTTAAAAGCGCATTTTATATAAAACGCTTTTGATAAACGTGTTTTACTTGGAAGTTGATACGACGGCTATGTAAAGCGTGGTTTATAAAACCGTTATACATAAAGCGTTGTTCATAAAAGCGCTATACGTAAAGCGCTTTTATAAACCACGCTTTACATATATAAGTACTCGTCCCTTTCCCTTTCCCCCCACGTTCTGGCAGAAACACCCCCTCCCCCCCAATTTTTAAAAAACCTTCAGCGGTCCCCCCCCCCCCTAACTCGATAAAAACTCGAGTGGATCCCACCCGTCCCACAAAAACTAATCAAAGTTGGTCCCACATCCTAGCCAAGCCTTCTATTGTTGTGGGTTGCTTGTTTCGGAGTCAAATTTTTAATTCTTCAACTTTTCGAAAAATATAAATCGAGGTATTCCGATTTAGTTTATGTTGAAACTGGTATAAATAATGCATATTAGTTGTTTTGAATGTGTTCCATGTTGTTTTGTGTTTTTTTTTTTTTTGCGATTAAATTGGTATGTTATTTTTACCCAGACTAAGATATTAATGTTCTAAAAAAATATGTAAAAATTACGAAATCATTATATTTGTTAATAAAAAATATTAATAAATTACTATTACTGTTTTATATGTATTTTTGTGAATGTTTTGTGATTAAAATGTATTTGTTATTTTTTATGTGGTTTATATTATTTATTTGCTTAAAGACTAGTAATATAGTGCCCTTTTAGGGTAGTAAAATATAATGACTTTTAGCGTAGTAAAATGTAGTGCCTTTTAGCGTAGTATAATGTAGTGCCTTTTAGCGTAGTTTCCCTGTAGTTTAAGTGTCTCTTATCTATTACTCTATTACTATATTAAAAGCACGAAGGCCCTTAGCGAAATGTCGTTCGTTTTTTTACCCTTTAAAAATAACTTTCAAAATAGACAAAATTGTAATTTAAGTTACTCTCCTAATATTTAGAATTTTAAAATCAATCAAAATTTTACATATTAAATATATCCTTATTAAACTAGGTTATTAAATATATCCTTACGAAACTAGGTAAGAAGTTCTAAAATTTAGGAATTAGTATCAATTAATATTTTACCTTATATAAATTGTACAAATTAAAAATACGTCCTTGGTGTATATGTACTTATAAACCAAGATGGGAACGAGATTATAGGTGCCTTCTTTGATATGAGGACATCAACTCACATATTAAAGTAAAATTATTTAATACAATAACGTCTAAATTAAATTATTTCAATGCGAAACAATTAAATATGCATTAAAAAAACTTACTTTAATCATAAAAATTAATTAACTCATGTTCAATTAAGTATCCAAAAATGATTATCTGATAGTATATTTAATCATACTAAATCGTACAAACCTAAATCTATATTATAAGAAAACGAAACCTCTACAGGAAATATTAATTGACTTTTTATTCTATAAAAATAGATTTCTATTGAATAAAAATATAATAAATATTTTATTTATATGTAAGACTTCAAAATTAATTAAAGTTTTACTTATTAGAATTTTTCTTATTTGAACTATGTAGGAAGTACAAGTATTTAGATCTTCGAAATGGATGATATAAATAAAAAAATATCTAAATTAATATGTACGTACACACTCAATGGATTCAATAACTTTTCGCAATAATTTTCTCCATATTAAATTTCATGTTTTAGTAATACTTTTTTTACCTACACACATTTCGACAAAGTTATGAAAATCATAAATTCTTTTTACTTTTATCTCATCAACTAGAACCTCAGCGCTTGGGCAACATTGAACCTTTGATGGAAATAAAGAAGACATCGAATTCAATTTTTTAATTTATGTTATTTGAAAATCTTTAGAGAATCATACTAAAAGTACAACTAATTAATTATGTTTGTATCTTCTTGAATGAACTTGAGAATAGCTTATGAAAAAAATTTTTAGAAAACTTTTCAGTTCTTCAAGGGTTATGCATGTGCTTTTATTGACGCTTAAAAGGAAGCACAATAACTTGTGAAATTGAACTGATAAAATCATAAAATTAGAACAAAATTAAGATGATACCGAATATCGATTGAGGACTTCTTTGAATAAAGTTTTTCTCTCTATTGATTTAGCTATCTAGGATCAATATTCATAAATTTCAAAAGCTTATGCTTTATTTTATAATTAAAATAAAATTTAAAATATATTTAATTTTCTTACAAAATATTATTTATTAAGATAAGAAACACGCGCAACGCGCGTATCCTTAGACTAGTACTCAAAAATACGTCAAAATAACTGATAGATCAAACACAAACTCTGTCCAATTATAGTCAACATATATTTGGTGCTACTGGGCCGCAAATATCGAGTCTAGAACCCATATATGAATATTTAATAATTAAATATTGTATAATTATTAAATTGATTATTTAATTTACAAACAAACATATAAAATGATAAAACTAACATGTAAAATAATAAAACTAACACATAGAAGAATTCAGGATAAATTGGTGCTATTGGGCAGCAAATATCGAACCTGGAACCCATATGTGAATATTTAATTATAAAAAGTAATTATTTAATTTACAAACTAAAATATAAAATTATAATATAAGACTAACACATAGAAGAATTTAGGATATCTTGGTGCTACTGGGACGCAAAATCGAGCCCGAAACCCATACGTGAATATTTAATAATTAAATATTGTATAATCATTAAAATTAATTATTTAATTTACAAACAAACATATAAAATTATAAAACTAACATGTAAAATAATAAACTAACACATAGAAGAATTCAGGATAAAATGGTGCTACTGGGCCGCAAATATAAAGCCTGAAACCCATATGTGAATATTTAATTATAAAAATTAATTATTTAATTTACAAACAAACATATAAAATTATAAAACCAACATGTAAAATACTAAAACTAACACATAGAAGAATTCAGGATAAATTGGTGCTACTGGGCAGCAAATATCGAGCCTGGAACCCATATGTGAATATTTAATTATAAAAATTAATTATTTAATTTACAAACAAACATATAAAATTATAAAACTAACATGTAATTAATGTTGTTTAATTTACAGTAGATGACATGGAGGTGCCGCCTATACATCCCGGACCTTCCATCGATGAACTACTATCGTTACAAGGCGATCATAGGCCCGCCCACATATGGGAGGGAGAGTTACTGACCTAGATTCTCCGCGTCAGGAGAGTGGACGACATGTGGGACTTTCTGCATGAGAGAGTTCTCCATCCCCGTGTAGTCACACGGCTGCGGGAGATGGGTTTCTACAGGATTATGGAGATCGGGCGGCTGCAGCTCGATTGGTCTTTGGTCATGGCCCTGATAGAGCGGTGGCGACCGGAGACGCACACATTCCACCTGCCCATTGGCGAGGCCACCATCACACTGCAGGACGTGGAGGTTTTATATGGGCTGCCCGTTGATAGACTCCCTGTTGCTCTGTCGCATGGCATGAGAGAGATGACACGTGTTCAGTACCTGGACATGCTGCAGCGGCTCACTACTTTCCGGCCAGAGGATGAGAATGTACTGGCTGGGACCAGTCGTTTATCGTTGATGACAATTCGACAGTATTTGGAGGCATTGCATCCTGACATCGATGGCGATATACCGGATTATCATGTTCACCGATATACGAGGTTGCTGCTACTCCTTATGTTTGGAGGGGTCTTGTTCCCGAACACTTCGGGGAACCTAGTCAGCTTGAGATTTCTTCATCATCTTGAGTAGCTAGATGATTTACCCCAGTACAACTGGGGTGCTGCTGTTCTTGGCTACTTGTACAGGCAGATGTGTCGGGCGAGTATGGGCACCCAGCGTGACGTTGCTAGATTTTTGCAGCTACTACAGGTGACAACATATTCGAATACTCTATTTATTTTAACATACCTAGTAAAAATATATCTTAAATTTTACGTCAACTTTTTATGTTAGGTTAAGGCCTGGGAGCGGTTCCTGCAGTTGCAGCTACCTCTACCACCATTAGCTCCGGATGTACCACTTCCGTTTCTCCCTCTAGCTAGGAGGTGGGTTCTCCGGCGGGGATATACGCGTGAGTACGAGGCTCGGCATAATCTCTCTTTGTGCAGGGATATCTTGGATTTGCTGGAGGGCGCACAGGTAAATGTATATCTAAGTTTACTTGTCATAGCTTCATATGTGTTGCGTATACTCGCGTTTTCTATTGTTACTTAATAGTTCATATAGATGCCATACAACGACGTGTTGATAGCTGGCTTGCCCGATTATTGCTCGGCCGGCCGACTTATGTGGGGCTCTTTCGTCCCGTTGATCTGCCTTGTATTGTGGAGCATCATGCCACAGAGTGGGTACTTTACCAGTTTAGCCGTCCGCAGCTCGTACCGACACCACCCACCTGGCAAACCACACACTACCAGCGGGATGATCGTTCCAGGGTAGACGACACATATTTGGCATGGCTAGAGGAGCAGATGGATAATTGGGACCGGCGATCTGACTTGATTCCTCCCCCTTCACCGAGTCAGCCGGATGTCACACTTCCTTTTTACACACCTACCCCGAAGGATAATGTATAAGAGGAGTTTTTTCATTTAAAGTGACATTATTTGAAATGGGATTATTTATTTGTTTTTAGAGTCGCCACTTGGGATAGGATTGGCTTT